GAGGAATGTGGAATGCATGAGTAGGAAGCTGATTGGACGGGAGGAATGTGGAATGCATGAGTAGGAAGCTGATTGGACGGGAGGAATGTGGAATGTATGAGTAGGAAGCTGATTGGACGGGAGGAATGTGGAATGTATGAGTAGGAAGCTGATTGGACGGGAGGAATGTGGAATGCATGAGTAGGCAGCTGATTGGACGGGAGGAATGTGGAATGTATGAGTAGGAAGCTGATTGGACGGGAGGAATGTGGACAGCAGCATGGCAGCTGGGCCAGCCAATGGGTGTGCTTCCTCTGTTGAGTTCTGTTACTCCGGGTTTGGTTTCAGTTACGTCAGGCTAAAGTTAAAGGTATAAAAAGGGGCCCATTTCTACAATAAAGGGATCTCCTTCCGATGCATAAGGGGATCCGTGTAGCTTTGTTCCCACTGCTACAAACACACAGGTGGCTTTCTCAAGTTTCTGGATGCATACAGGACAAGTTCTCACCCTCCTGCCTTGAAGCAGGCTTAGGATCTATAGTCATCTCTTTGGGATTATCAATCAAGTTAAATTTGGGGTTTTATTTTTAGAGTTTAAAATTTTTGCACCAGACAGATTATGCACGGTTGACAGGAGTTACACAACATAAAAGGTAAAGACAACAATGTGAGTATTCTGCAGCAGGAAGCAGAAACAGCAAGAACCAAACTTGGTTCAAATATTTGGCTTTACTGTAACCCACACTGGTCACAGAAGTGCTTGTGAATAGAAACAGGTAAGGAAGAGAAACTGTTAATGTGCAGCGCAAGTGAAAACACGCACTGGCTTCAGAAATTGTATATTCAATTAAAATTAACTGTATGTTCCAGAGGTTCAAATATGGTGTCTCAATTACCATTTAAATTAGCCAGCACAAGTATCCTATAGAAATGAGTGTTTCAAATCTCACCTCAGCAACAAAGGCTCATTTCTGATTATTTACAAACCACATCAAATCTAAGAATAGTTTTAGTGAAACATAAATAGGGATAGGTAGGCCTAGAGAGAGACAGAAATAGGTACGTACAGATATTGATGGGTAAAGACAGGAATAGACAGGCACAGGGAGAGGCAAAGGTAGAGACAGGTACAGAGATCTTGACACAGGTAGAGGCAGCTCTAGAGCAAGGTGTGGGTATAGACAGGGGCAGATAGGCTGACAGAAATGGACAGAGAGGTGCTGACAAATTTTGTCACGCAGAGGTAGATACTGACTATCTAGATAAAAGACATTTTTGACAGGGAGAGGTAGTGACAGGTACACAGACGCTGACAGATAGAGACAGGTACAGATAGATCCTGACAGATTCTCTAAGATTTTAGCCAATTCTGTTAGATTTTGGCAGATTCTTACACTTTTTGACACAAATTCTCTTGCATTCTGGTGGGTTCTGACAGAGATATTGGCAGTGGTGGAGACAGATCTTTGACAGAGATTTTGTCATATATTGATTGGTACAGAGAGGGAGATATATATATAAACAGAGAGTGACAAGGACTGACAGGTGGAGCAAGTATAGATGGATAGACATGTATAGCTGACTAGCAATACATATAGATATATAGGTAGAGATGTGTATAAACAGAGAGGTGGAGATATAGATACATATAGACAAACAGGTTTAGACAGGGAGAGCTAAATATTGACAGGTATAGATAGGTACAGACAGATGGAGGGACATAGAGACAGGTATCACTGGGTGTAGACAGGTATAGATACATACAGACAGATACAGGTCAGGATACACAGAGGTAGATGAACACAGATAGCCAGGGACACGTACAGGCACAGACAGGGGAACAGGTGGGGAGAGAGAGACAGAGAGAGCGAGCATTCCAAACTATGGGAATGGAAGTTCCTTTGAACATACTGCAAAGCATGTAAGTGGTAGGAATGTGCCCAGTGTCATAGGTGGTTTTGGTGCTGTCTGCCAGATTTATACCTCGAAATCACAATCCTATGGACTCCAGGTAGTAACACGTCACACATGGGAATGTGAAGGCATTTTATGGATGGTTATGCTGAGGCCAAGTGCATAAAAGATTCATAAAATCACAAAATGTCTTTTCCATGGCTAATGATACTTGGCTGTAAGGGAGCAAGTAACTCTTAAAGCAAATTAAAGCAAAGTCAATAAATTCACTCAGGAATCACATCACCTTGCTCTTCCTGTTATTTATTTCTGTTGACCTGTAGAATGTCCTGCAACATTTTTTTCTGGCCTGGAACTTCACTCCTGCACTGTTTTTATTGTATTCAGACACACACGAGCATATTCCACATGTGTAAGCTAATGCACCTTACAGTTCTTCAAACCAAACTACTTCAGAATAACAGTGATAATGTGCTGTGAGAATTTAAAAAGGTGATTGTTATTCCTTTAAAGCCATAAGTTGTATGCATCACGGTCAGAGATTCTTGCTGTTAAGTGGGTATTAGAAAAGAAAACAGGCTTTGGAGTGACAGTGGAACATGCTGCAAGCACAGGAAAGCCCAACTCAAATGGAACACCACGTTTGACTAACAGAGTACTTGATGCTATTTTTCTACTTACTGCAGACATGATGAGCTCTCCACCGAGATTCTGGATTTCTGCTTTAACCTGGCTGCAGATCTTGAGCTGATGGGAGTATAGCTTGATCTGCTCCAGGTAAGCTAGTAAATCCTGTTTGCACGACTGGTCTGGGCACTGAAAAGAACAATAAATAAAGCACTTCAGTAACTGCTGATTCAAAATGATGTCTCAGGATCACGTTGAAACTTCACTGAGGAGTATTCCAGTTGCAGACTACTGGAGCCTTGCTCCAGATACACTGCACTTGTATCAGGCTGCAAGGTTCATTCCTCTTGGGAAGCTTTTTAAAGCTATAGTTGGAAGCCCAGATGAAGCCTAAGATTCCCCATATGCACTCTGTATTTAGTGTATGGAGTTACTTCCAGTCCTTAGATGATCTCTAAGAAAGTACCTCTATTAACAGTGATGAGGGTAATCCAAACAGATTTTGTGGGCTATGTAACCATACATGCAGAGACATATTAACATCTATATATTATGCTTTATCTTGTAACGTGATCTATGGGGTTTTTTGTGTTCCATCCAGGCTGTATTGAACTCAATCTGCACATCTTCTCTAACTGTGACAACAGCAAAAGTAGAATGCCTTATGGAAAAGTCACAATAAAAATTATCAATATTTTTAACAATGCAGATTTCTATTATAGAAATAAAAATAGGATTGCTGTAACCTGATTTTTTCCCAAAATACATGGAGTACTTGGAGAGCAATGTTGCTCTGTGGGTACCAGGCCAGTGATGAAAGGCTGGGTATGAATTTGTTCTAAGGCTGACTCTCATTGCTCTGGCAGAATAAAGGGATCTTAAAGGGGAATGGTGAGCCCCTTGTGTGCTCCCACAGCTGGAAAGAGTATGAGTGATAAATAAGTACGAGATCCCTGCAGGTTTGCAGACATGGTGCTGGCCCGGCTGTGGTACACACATGATAAATACAGCCCCTTCCTTCTGACAGCTTTGTATCTCTGCTCAGCTTTGCATACTGAAAAAGCAAAGATACATCCCCACCAACTGCACACTGTCAACAATCACCTGTGGTTTTTTAAAATTGTGGTTAGTGAATTTAAATCCAAAACCCACCAGGAACCAGAAAAAGCACCCATTCTACTTAACTCCAAAAATATTTCAGCTCCTGGCTTTGCTGAAGCAACAGTACATGTTCAAAGGGCTGGTGTAACAATGATGTTTTTCATGGCTATGCAATAGTAGCAAGTTAACAGTAAACAAGGTCAGAGTGTACAATTTTAAATTAATTAATATGACTTAACATCAGTCCTTACCTCATGTTCTGCTACATTCATTATTGTTTCCTGTATTTGGTCACAGGTTACAACAAAACCAGAACATTTCCTTGAAATATTATCTTTCTATGTGATGGAAAATGCCCTAAAATATATTTTTATTTCTTCCTTATTAAGCACTGCTTTAAGGACTGTCCAAAGCAGTATTTATATAATAGTATCTCAGTGTTTAGAAAGCTGGGATACTGTTTATCTAATTTAATTAATAAAAAATTATACTTCAAGTAAAGTACAATACAATCCCTTAGAGCATCAGAACTCATAATACCAAGATGGTGTGTATTCCTGGAATGACATTCTTTCTTCATAATTTTTTTCCTTCCTTAGTTACACTTTGAATTTATCCCTCTGGCCAGAAAAATTATAGAGAAAGGTGTATAGGGTGCCAGTATAGTTCCTTATCCACTTCAAACAGTGACAAGTCCAATTACAGAAGTTCAGAGACAAAAATTATTATTATATAGTACTCTTTTATATTCTAGTGTCAGGCCAGTCACAGGTACTGTCTCCCTTACACAGCACTACAGAGGAAATGTGTACCATTTTAGGAGTGTACAGACAATACACATCAAAGGTGAGGAAATTGCGCTCATGAACAAGACCTTGAGGTTCTGTGGAAACACTCTCAGTGCCAAAAGCATTCAAAAAAGCAAGTGCAGGGCATTGGATAAGAAAATTCTCCTGAAATGTAATTATGCTACTGTACAAGGCTGTGCCATATCCACAGCTTCACTACCTGAGAAGATACAGTGCATCCTTGTCCTGCACCAGCCACACCAAGGCCCAGACAGAAGGAGGATTCTGTGCTGAATTCTGGTATTCTTCCTCCACTACAAACCCCAGGGGTCATTAAAAGTGACTCCCAGGAGCACAAAAAAGGAAATGGTTTTTAATGTGGGGTTGTTAAATTGCAGAAATCTTTGTTACAGAATGGTTATATTAATTTTTTACATAAGTAAAAGAAATTACTGGACAAACAAATGGGAAAGTATCAAGGAGTATCTCCCATGTCAAGCGTATCAGAAATATGTTTGGTGATGTAAATTCTGGCATGGCTGCTGGAGGCTGGGAGCACCATGGAAGTCAGGCCACGCTCTCCTGAGCTGTGTCAGTACCCAGAGTTACCTCCTGGCAGCACAGGATCCGTGCCTGAGCTCTGGCCGCAGCACTGCAGCAGAGGGGCAGGCTGGCCAGGACCCCGCTCACACAGCAGGCAGGGTCTGCACTGCTCTCACCAGCAACAAGCACTGCAGAAAATTAAACCTCATGCCTTGTAGCGTGTCAGATCAGCCATCAGCAGACGTTTGGAACAAATGCACTGCAGGGAGGACACTGCATAAGGAATCATCTACCTGTTGCTCAGAAGCAGCTGGTAGAAGCAGCATTTGCTCACCAAACAGAAGGACAATCAATAAATTCTGAGTTTCATCATCCCACAGACAATTGATAGTTATTAGTTTACTGCTGCACATTCCTGACTGGAGAGCCCATCAGATTCTGCGAGGTTTTTCCCCACACATCCTGCAGGCTGTTGCTAACAAAGGCTTTCTGTTAAGAGCAGCATCAGAAGTGACCTGCATCCCAAAGATGCAGGGGTATTTCACCTGATAGAATATCCACCCGAACATCAAAAAAACCCTGAGAAATTAAAATAATGCAGTGACTAAAACCAGACTGAAAGCAGCATTCACCATCCAAGAGAAAAAGCCAGAGGCACAGCAGTTGCACAGGGGGTGTGAATGAACAATCACAGGAGCTTCTGACCACAGACCATTCTGGGTTTGCTTTGTTCTCACTTCATCTGCTTGCTAAAAAAAGACCAAAGCATTTCTCTATAGAATCCAAATCTGTCTTTATGGAGATCTATATTGGGTATAATCACCCACCACCTACTATAAATGTATGCTGTGCACATTCAGGAGGGAGCTTTGCTGCTCCACCAATGGGGTTCTGTCACCCAAAGGGATTATTTGAACAGTGCTTTCCTGACCACTGTAATTAGCTCTGACAAATAGCATTCTGAATGACCCAGCCAGGGCCTGCCTGACTGGGAACCTAATGGGAGGCTCTTAATACAGACCTCACTCTCCAGCATATTTCATCAACCCAGGGTGAGGTACTCACTGCCTTCATTATCTTAGGGCTTCCAGGTCACATTAAGTAGCAAAAATCTTCTTACAGAAGGAACAAAGAACAAAAATCTTCTGACAAAAGGGAACGTCTCCTGATAACGAATTTATAATGCACTTGTGATTCATTTGTATAGGTTGCTGCCAATGCTGTAACCCTTGTTACTCTGAGCCATCCTAGAAGTGCATGTGACTGTGGACTGAAATAGCTGAGTGCTGCTAATTGTACCACACTCTATGCCTTCCCTGCAAACACAGCAACAGGGAGGTATAAAAATCATACAAATCCTTCTTCTTCACATAATAGAAATGCTACAGAATTTAGTTGTTAGTAAAAGGCAACATGTGAAATACTCCACTAAAAAGTGCAAATGCTGCTCAGGAAGGCACTGCTGGCACTCATGGTCTACTCTGAGTACCAAATTCCTGAAGGGCTTACTCAGTTTGGCCCAAATTCAGAGAACAGTTATTTGGTAGCCCAGAGGAATGTAAAGTTTATTTTATTTTAAGACCCCAGGAGTGCAGGGCATAGGAGACCTGGCAAAATAACAGCTGAGAAAAGGAATTTGAAAATACCTTCAAGATTAAAGAAAACCACCACAATGAGAAAAGAGCTTTTGCAGTTGAAGAATAACTTTGCACAACCAAAAAAACCTTTTAAAGCTTCTTTTAACAGAAGTTAAAAGCTCTCTAGCCATGCAAGGAATGAGAGGATCATACTGTCTGTAACAGGAGGAATAAAGCAAGATTCTCTTTACTAAATTTGACACCTATCTAGCAATACTTGCAATTGTGTTCACCATAACTGGAAGAACTGCCTTGGTTCACCTTTTGTGTTTGGATTTCCCTGGTTTTAATACATGCAATGTAATGTAAAACTGCATCTAAAATCCAAGCAACACATGTAAGTAAGGAGTGTCCTTCAGATGCACAGAACAAATCCCAGGGGTCAGGTGGCTCCCAGGTGCCAGCTGTGTGCAAGCTCTGAGCAAGGACAAAGGCAAGGAGTTGGAGTCAACTCAGTAAACGGGTTACAATAACCTGAATTATGTCACATTTCCCAGCAGCTCTGAGGGGACACATGAATTATCACCACTAGTAGTTCATGAATACTTTCTCCCCACACTGATTTGCTCATGTTTCTAGTCTGGAATCATTTTACTAATACAGCTGAAATCTTTCTTTCATAGAAGAAATATTTTAGTGAGAGTGGATTCTCTGTCCTAAATCCAGCAGGAATTTACGACCTTTATTCATCTTTGGCTTTTCTATCTCATCGTTTTCTGCAGTGTATCAGTGACAGGTTTGAATTTTAATCTGTAATAGATAAAATCTTGAAAACAGCTGTATTCCAGTGCTGGAAGAAAGTGAGTTAAGATCCAGAATGGGGAATCCAGACATTTTACCTATTTTATCCACAAATCTGATCACAACTGTATAGATGCAAAATAGAAATTCTTTGTTATCTGGAATTCAGAGAGACACATGACAACCACTAACAGACTGGTTAGCAACAGACTGGTGTTGCTTCCTAGATGGTAGGAAATCAAGCACAGAATGAAAATAAAGAGTGAAGAGGAAAGAGAGACTGTCCTGCGGTGCCCTGGACCTGAAAGGCAGCCACAAAGGAAGAGATGCTTCAGGGGTGCTCAAATGCCACTGCAGATCCCCTGAGTTACCCTGCTCCTGGCTGGGCTCTTCTTGGTGGGAGGTTGAGCCATCTGATGATCTAAAAATCCAACAGCAATACAGCATACCTTCCAGCTCTAACACTTGGCATTTCATGGTGATAAGAGTTACTTAAAATAACTATAAATAAAAATTAATTGCAAAACCAAAAATCACCTTCAAGCTGCAGATTTGCAGAGGCCAAAACAGCCAGTGTTAGGGGTGGGGGGCAGAGAAGGAAGGTACAGCAAAAAGCATCGATTCTGTAACTCTGCAGAGGGTGGAGAACAAACCATTCTGGAGCCACAGATGTCTGTCCTTCCTAAGATGGTGCTGAGACCAAGCACCTGCCCAGAGCAGCAGAGCTCTGTGCCAGTGCTCCATCCTGCATTCCCACAGCTCACCTGGAGCAGCTGCATTGCTGCTGAGTAATTCACCCAGGTCAATCAGGAGAGGACGAACCTGCACCCTGCACTGCTGCCTGCACAGCTGGTCTGGCTTTGCCTGGCACACAGCTCATGCTCTCCACAGTGGCTGGCCTCATGCTCTGCTGGATTAAGAATGGGAAGGAAGGTGGCACAAAAGGCCCTTTCAGTGTCCCACCCTCTGCCAATGAGTAGAGCACAGGCAGCTGGTGGGAAGCATGGCCAGGACAGGTGACGTGAACTGGCCAAAGGCTCTTCCATACCAATTCCATGGAGTACCATGGCCAGTATGGGGAACTCACCTGGAAGGGGCTGATTGCTGTTCAGGGACAGGCTGGGCATTGGTCAGCACATGCTGGGGAATTGTGCTAGGCATCACTTCTTTCTCTCTGGTCTCAGTCCTTTCTCCCTCTCTCTCTTTCAGCATCAATATTAGTACTACTACTACTATATTTTAAAGTACTAAACTTTTTATGACAACCCATTAGGTTTCCTTTTTTTCCAGTTCCAGGAGTAGGTGACTGAGCAGCTGCATTGTACTCAGTTGCCACCCAGGGTTAAACCAGGAAAACAGCTTTTTATACAACTATTTATATACTAACATATACCTTAATATGTTAATAAAAATTATATATATATAAGCACAGCCATGAATATATATATATATTAAATATGTATCTGTATACATATGTATGTATACATATTCATATATACTGTATGTCTAAAATGTTGCAATCATAGCTTAAGGGAGCTCACAAATATTCACATACATGTACAATACATGCGCAGGTGGAAGCGCGTGCCTAGACACGTGTGATGTATGTACATATCTATGTGTATGTCTAAGATGCTGCAATCATAGCCTAAAGAGCTCACAAATATTCACACACATGTACAATGCATGCACAGGTGGAAGCGTGTGCCTAGACGCGTCTGATGCATGTACCCATCCATTCCAGAGTGTACAGAACAGAGCCCTGACACACACGGAGAGGAGCATGCAGGCAGAGGCTCAGACAGGATCTGTGTCACAGGCAGTCCTGTGACCCTGGGAGGGGCTGGGCTGAGCAGGGCAGGGTTCCTGCAGTGGAGACTCGCCTGGTCAGCGATGAGCCGTGCCAGGACGTCCATGCGCGAGCCCGACTCCGAGATCACCTTGGCGGCGTTGATGACATCGGACGTGTGCTTCAGTGGGCCTCTTCCCCTTCAGAGGAAGCACAGACATTCAGAGTAAATCACAGCTCTTTGTTTAATTGAGTTGCTCTGCAAACTAGGTGCAAAACAACTCAATTAAACAAAGCAATAACCCATACGCAAGCGACAGCAGTTAAATCCCCCCACAACTGTTTTCACATCCCACAGATTTGTATTGTTTGACATCAAGAGGATGCAGAAGCACCATAAGGATGTTACAGTTTCTTCATATTGAAAGTACAACCCGTGCCATATCCCGATTTTAAGAAATTTCTTGGGTAGTTTGCTATTCCCAGAGTTATATGAAATTCCTTTCTATTCCATGAATTTTCCAGTAATATGTTCCAAGGAAGTTCTGCTCAGTGTATTCTGAGAATCATTATGGATATCTGGTCAGAAAAACAGCGGTGTTGGTTTAGTTGGGGTTTCCAAAAATTTAATCGGTGCACCCACGTACAAACAGAGATGTATGAACAGGGCTGCAAATCAGCTTACACATGCCACTCAGAACACAGATCTGCCATACTGGAATAATACTTCCCTAACAATTACAGAATTTCTGCAGAATTTCAGTCTAGGAAAACAGCCAAATTCTTGTGAACAGTCTGCCAAAAAGTCAGACACTTTATGTGTGCCCTCCTCCCAAGCCCAAAAATCTGCTTTAATTACAGGACAATGTTTCTAAGAACTGAGAAATAAAATATGAATACTTAAGGGCCTTATATTTACATTTGTTTGAGCCTCAGCCTCTTTAATCTTGCAACACTTCACCTGAACGAAAATTAATTGTACTTCATGCATGTATAAAGTGAGCAATGTTGCTGAACTGAGCTTTGCCTTCCAACATCTTTGACAGGAATACTTCTAGTTTTACTAAGTATTTCATTTGCAAAGGCCCCAAATCAATTTACAAGTTCTGCACTGGACAAAGGAAGTAGGCAACATGAAAAAAATGAATGTAACTCTTTGCTTAAATGAGAAGACCCTTTTCCTCCAAGTCAGTATGGTTTTATGTGTAAAGAGCATTCCACTAAAAAAACTCATTTAACCTAAAAATATTATAGTATGGACCTGTACCAACATTGCAGTCAGGAAATAACAGTGGTAACAACACAAGATGACAGAAAATGTTTAATCTCTTCTTGATTAATCATATTGCTCAGCAAAGAACTATTAGTTCTTGGAGGAAAGCATACTTTACTAATTACAGTTCTTTATTCTCAACTTTGGAAGCCCACATTTCGAACAACCTAGAATCCAGTATTTTACACATCACTGTTCCACAGAAAGGCACTTTCTTGTTATAGTAAACCTATGTGGTGATAAAAATAATTACAGTGTATGTGGGGAATGAAATGCAAATGCAATCCCCTGTATCTAGGATTAACTACTTGAGCCCTCACCCATATCCTTCATTTGCCTTTCCTGGTCTCTTCCCTTTGAATCCTTAGCCCCAATTCTTTTGTGTGCCTACTGACCCTTCCCTCCATTCTGGGCCACTGGTTCACTGTTAATTGCACTGCAGCAGTTCCAGAGGCTTGTCAGGCACCCACAGCACATCCTTTAGCTGCTCCACAAACTACCAGCAGCCCAGGACTGTCCTGGCAAGGTCCAACCCAGGACCAGCCACACAATACCAAAGGTGAACACAACCCAGGGTTAAAACAGCCAGCAAAGAAGAGATGGCATGAACAGTTCAAGCCATTTCTGCTTAGATAGTTCTTGTACCTGCAGCAGCTCTGCTGACTTTTGAAGCTGGCTTGGAGGGTAAAGTTCTCCAATTAAAGTAGCAGTTTCCTTGTACCCTTGGAGAATGAAACAATTCCACCCAAAAAAATTACTTCAGACAAATGAAAATGAAGTATTACTTTTCACCACAGACATGGCCACCCTCAGAGCCACTAAAGGAGCACTCAGCAATGACTGCTCTGGAGACTTGTGCCCCACAGGGCACCTAATGCACCAATGGTTCAAGTTCTCTAAAGCCCCTAAGAAATATGGGGTGCAATGCCTCTGAGCTTTCAGCCACAGCTCAGTCTTGAAATAAAAGTTAAATACCTAGGAATGCCTCAGCCTTGTGTTAAAATGTGCTGAAACTCCAGCAAATTAAGATACAGGCACAAAGAAAGCTCCTTTGCTACACAACCAAGAACCATCTGTGCTCCCTTTTTTACCTTCATGTAAAATCCAGAGCCTTTGACATAAAGCACGGGTATAGCATATGCTCTACCCTTAGCTGCCTTAGGATATAGCATAAAAAGCCATTAGTCCCAGTTGATGATGCTGGGAAATTTTGAGTACTTTAAAAAGAATACATGGGAAACAACACTGGATCTGCTGAATCACTGGCCAAATGGAAGAAACTGAGAGAAAAACCAAAAAACCCTGAACAGGATGCTAGTTCAACTGCAAACACTATATTTGGATGTAAGTAATCTACTGCTTAGAGAGTCCCTATAGCATTTCTGTACAAAGCCAGAGGGGTTGTTTCAGCCATCAGTCTGAACAGGAGCCCCTGAGGCAGAGCTGCTGTGAGAACAGCAGACAGCACACCAAGGTACACACACGGGTAATATCCTACACAAAGCTTTCCTGCAGCTTTCCCTCTTTTGGTAAGGCTGCAGCTCTGTGAGGGTTTCCATGAAGGAAGCTTGAACACGGTGGGAAGCTGTGCAAAAAGGATGATTACATGTCATAAACGTAAGGAGACACAGACGGGTTTACCCCACAACAGCCTGGAACTAGGAGTGGGGCAAAGGAGGAACGACCAGCCAGAGAGGCTGTGGGACACACGGAGAGCCCTTGTGGGGCTCCAGGGCTGTGGTGGGTCGGGAGGAGGTTCAGAGCTTCCCTCTGGAGAAGCAGGCTCAGAGAGGCTCGGAGCGGAGCCGCGTCGGCGTCATGGCACCATTGCCAATGGCGAGAGAGGCCAGCACCTGCTCTGAGGGTGGGATCATGCCATCCTCTGCTGAGGGCTCTGCAGTCCTGGGATTTTATTGCTGGAAATTCAACAAAGGAGTTCCATGGGTTTTGGTGAGTAACTACCAGGTTCAATGCGTGTTGCCTTCAAATGATACCAGTGCAGCTGTGCACTTTGTGAATTCCCACTTCACCTGATTTAGCACAAAATCAGTAGATTCAGAACGCCACTAACTCAGATTAACTTCCTGAATCCAGATGTTAAAGACACATAAAGTCCATTAAATCATCAAGGTTGTTTTCCCGAACCACTGCACAGCTTCCTACCAATTTTATATGCACTTGCACTTCTTTCTGGTAAGTTTGAAGTATGAAAAAACACTTTGCTTGAAAGGCAATGTTTCCCTGAGCTATCCATCTCACTCTCTGGAATGCTTTTCCAGATATTTAGGTCTTTCTCTGTATCACTGTAACAGCATCCCTTTCCTCCTACAGACCTCCCTGATCCTCCTCCACTTCATTCTGAAGCATCCCAAATCACGGTGGATAGCGCAGACCTGCGTGCAATAGCTCATGCACCTACAGCTGTTCAAAAAACTAATCCAAAAAACCTTTTCACCCAAATACCATCTGCTGGTCAACAACATCACAAAATTTCTCCATTGTGGAGTCTACCACCTCTTCCCCTAAAGAAATTCTAATTTCTCTCCTATGAAAACTATAATATTTTAAAAAATCTTTTTCAAGTCAGCTTTCATCTCACTGTTCCTTTCCTGCTGCCAGTCTCTAATGTTTAACGCCAAACTCCACCTCACACACGCATTTACTGACATTCGTCCCCAGTAATTTCATTGAGTTCATAACCTACAACAGCAGACCCTGGATTCATTGCATGAAAGATCTAATACATCTATTTTCCTCACACCTCACTATTTCCAAGAAAAAAGCCTTACAAGTTGAGCAAGCTGATAACAAAGACAAGACACGAAGTACTATACTTACAAGTAATTATATCTCCCCAAGGTAGTGATGGATTGTTACTAGAGCTCAAATAAACTACTCTATCCAACAACAAAACTGGAAGTAGGCCATAAATAACACAGAGAGACATCCAGCTAAGTCTAATAAGAAAGAAAATGGATTATGTACAAAGAAAGCCATTTGGAGTATCTCCACAAAGGTATAGGAGAAAAAAACCCAATATTTCATCTCAATGTTTCTTGAAAGGTACAATCACAAGAGGAAAGAAGTTGGACTGTGTTAATTAGTACAACACCAAGGGTTTTCAGTAATTGTGAAAGAGAGCCTAAAGCCTCTCAAATCTCATCGTTCTTGCTCCAAGCCAGGACAAACCAAGAGCAACTCCATCCCTGTCTGCCTAAACTTAACCACAGCGATCAGCAGACACCAGTATGGGACATTATTATTGTTTTCCTTCACACTGCAATTTCACTCTGAAAAGCAGTGCTACTCTTAATTCTTACAGTAATGAAAACTTCTACGTCAACTCCAAAATGTTTTTGCCATCACCTTTTCCAGGAAGAGAAATTCTTCTGTCTGCAAGCAAAGCTGGTGGCCTTCCCCTCCACGCTGTGGTTCCCTCAGCAAATCTCCACGCTTGCCCTGCAGCAGAAGCAGCCAGAGGGAGCTGCAGGGAGCAGTGGCTGAGGAACTCCCACCTCACACCCCAACACACGGACACACTTCACAGCACTCCACGGTGTGAGCTGAAAGCTTCACTGTCAGCTCCAAGTCACGGCCACTCTCTGGCCCTGAGCTCCAGGCTCTGACCATTCTGGTTTACAGCTCAGCAGGTCCTGACAGCTGCCACTTAAACTGCAAGTTTGCCAGGGGCACTGCAGAGGAGGCACAACTACAAACCAATCCTAACCCGGCAACGTCTCTCTCTTGCTGTTCAAACCTGAGCAAATCTGTTCCAAACAGGATCAGGTCTGGCAAACCTGGCCAAAGCCAGGCCAGTGTCCACCTGAGCAGCCCCAGTCTGGACCATCAATTCGGGCTGAAAGAGACCAAGTGCTGGCAAAGGCTCCTTGGAGGTGGGAGTGGACTGGGACATTTCCTGAGGTGAGG